TCTTTAAAAGACACAACTTAAATGCATATCAAAATCCATAGGTTCTTGGCAACTACTGTATTTTCTCTCCTCCCCTCTGCTAGACACACACATCTGGATTTCTCTGATACTCTCAGTCGTTCGTTTCTCTGTGGACTGCCGATCTACAAAATAAAATAAACACCGAACTCTAACCATCGTTCCTCCTATTGTGAGTAAATATTTTCTAACCTAGTTTTATGTTTGTAACTTAATCTTATATAACCCAAAATATATGATGCTGTGATATTATAGCTAATTATTTACCTATTTTGTGATGAGTCGTAATTGTCAATTGTAAATTTACAAATAAGTGCATTTATGAATTTATTGAGCTTAGATGTAGATAAGGCCATCTCTTATGGTCTTCCCCAAAGCAACTGCGAGCTAATGTTGGGACAGCTGACAAAATCTCCCTTCCCTTCTTCTCCGCCTGCTTTTTAGTCGCTTTTTAGAGGGTGTTTATGAAAGCTTATTTAAATTAGCTTATTAATTTATTATAGCTTATTAATTTATAGCTTTTAAATTATAGTTTAACATTTTAACTTAGAGTTTATTGATTTATAGCGGTATCAAAACGGAAATTTAAAAAAAGTACCTAGCTAAGTTTATCCAGTGTCAAAACGCAATAAGCTTATTAATTTATAGACATGTTTTTGTGTTATGTAGGTTTACGTTAATTGGCATATATGTCAATTTCGTTAAATGGTTAAATAATGAGTTTTTTTATAAACAAGGGGTAACTGACTTATCAAAAAATATTTTATTAGAGGTTCCAAACAATTATAAATTGTTTTTAAAAAAATTTTACTCAAACATTTTTTTATACCGATATAAAATCAGACTTTTTTTTTTTTTTAAAGACGCTCTAAGTTCACCTTCTGCATTACACCTTTTGCATTATATAAGAACATTGTTTTTGATTCACGGAATATGAGTATAACATCTGAAAAATGCTGAAAGATAAAAGATGACAAGATTTAATTTAATTGTGACCGAACAATGAATCAA